ATTTGTGTTTATGCACATTTGTGTGTAGGCAAGCTGTTTAAGGGTTTAAACAATCACTTCCTCGCAGAATTAGTGTTCTGCGTAACTGAACCTGAATGGAAGCAGGTTAATTATAAAAACTGCTTATGGGACATGGTATGCCTCGAAGCATGCTGCACACACCCTGGTACAACTCTTCAAGGACTGTGCAGCAAATCTGCCTTTGCTGGAGGGCCTTCTGGTGAAGTGCTGAGGAGGCGTTTCCTATCTCGGGCAGAATTTGTGAACGAGGAAGAGAGGAGGAAGGATTTGACTTTAGGTCAACACCTGCTCACTGACTGCTCTAGGGGTCAGCTGAAATTTCCTTACATCTTCCCCTCTCCGAGGCAAAAAAAGAGAAAGAGTAAGTCAATTCTTAGCCCTCAATTCCTAGCTGTCAGACAAATTTCTTGTCTCTTAGCCAGTCCCGAGTACCACCTCAGAGGTGGGTATGCCCAGCACTATGTTTTTCACTCAGCCTTCCTCAGTAGGTTTCCCTAAAAACAAAAATCTCCAGTTCTCATGACTAGGCATAGGATTTTACTATGACTGCCTGGAAGATTTCAAATACCTGATGCAAAGCTTTCATGAAAAGCTGACGTGCCTGTGGACATACACTAGAAGCCAGTGCAATGTTCCCACTGCTGGGATCTCCCCCACTGTAGCTGTCTGCCAAAAGTCACTGAAGCACCCACAAGTGAGCTAATGTCGCTATCTCCTTATTCTCTGTATTCTTCAGCGGCGGCTGAATAGGAGGAAAAAAGAAAGGAAAGAGCTGGGGGTGCTTCATTCCCTGCAGTTGAGCAGCCTGCAAGACCAAGAGTGGCAGCACCGAACGTCACTGCTGGGCCTTACCAGCACTATTAGGTCTTGCTTACTCTTGTGCTGGCTGGCATTGACCTCCTGTCAAGCACTGAGGCTCTGCCGAACCCTTCATTCCTTCCTGGCTGCTTGCTGTCACTCCTTTACAAGACTTCCAGGCTGCCAAAGTACCTCAAAGCACATCCATCTCCTTCAGCCAGTCCCCTCTGAACTTCGGGTGCTGGATACTGGCCTGCAGCGTGTTTTGGGGACAAGAGCGTTTCCTTCTTTTGGATGCCGAATTGGTATTTGACATACCACATAGTAATTAGCTGTGCACTGATTTGCCTCGACACTTTTTCCATTCATACGAGAAACAGCTGAAGGGCCAAAATCAGAAGAAAACTGCTTTTGGTCCCCATGCCTACAGCCCCTGGTGATTTTCATCGCACCATGAAGTGGGTCTGTGTGTCTCTTCACAGCATGCTCTAATTGCTTTTTCTAAGGAAAAATTATACTTAAGAAGTATAACTCTCTTAAATACAAAAAATAAATACTCAGCTTTGAGGTTGACACTAATCTATTTTAAACAGGACACGGGAGTGTGGTGTATTTCAGAAAAGTTGTTACAAGAGAAGAGCTCTGATGCATGAAAACTAGGGAGCCCATCCTGCCAATTCTGACGATACTTTTCATCTATTAAGTATTGTCAATTGACAGTAAAGCTGAGTAAAGAAGCATAAGTTTGCACTTTTTCAGAGAGAGAGACGCATGCAATAAGAATGATTTGGCAGAAGGAGGAGGTTGAAGTGATGTAAATTGAAAAAAAAAATTAGTCTCAGGAAATGGTACTGCCCTAATGTAAAAAACTGATTAAAGGTAGCTATTATTTCTCCCCTCGTTTAGGGAAATATGCCTTTCCTATTTTCAAGCATATCAGTCCAAACAAGACCCCAAAAGTGGGGCGCTCCATTTGCTGGACTGCGGAGTTGTGCAAAGCTAGATCTCCAAAACCTTTCTGTCACACGAGGCTTTCTGATGCTGGGTGCAGGCAGTGGGAGTAAGGGGCGCAGGCTGCCCCTCTCGCCAGCAGCGCATCGTAACGCCAGATCGATGGCATGGTGTGACTGCAGCCCAGGAGGGCTGCTGCACACCAAGCGGCGCGCCTCCTCCTTCAGAGCGTCTCATGGCAGCCATGTAGGCGCGCTGTGTTTACTTCAAACCATCATGAAAATCTCTTAGCTTAGCACAAACCCTACAGCAAGAGTACAACATGCCAGTTATCTCATACTCCTTCCCAATAGCACTAACATTATACGTACAGCTGCAGTCTAGCCGGGCAACATGAAAAGTCCAGATGAACTTTGGTCTCCCTCTGAGATACGATATAATCTTGGGAAAGCTTTTTTTTCCGTTGAAGATTTACATTTGCCGTGGGATTTTTTGTTTGTTTTTAGGGATGAGTGAACTCATACTTATCTGAAATCTCATGGTGACCTGGGCTGAAATGGTGCTGCTCCCTCTTGCCTGTGGCTGCAGCTTTCCCTTGATGAAAATTACTCCTAGTTAACTCTTTTGGCATAAGCGCCCATATAGACTCTTGCTGACTTTCTTCTATTAGTAAGGTGGGTCAGATGAAAAATTCAGATTATGGGGTTAACTCAAGTTTATATAGCAAGCAGGTGAAGACATCCTTAGTAAAATCAGCTATTTTATGTCAGCACCTTTACAATAATATAACAGTTAAATCTAAACCTAACTTCCACGAAGACATCCCCCAAACTCCCATGTAATGAGTCCTTATTTCAGAGATGAACAAACCAAGATGCAGGTGATTTGCCCTCTGACATGGAACAAGTATCGTAATTAGAGATTTAAACCAGATACAGTAATCCTTCTTCCTACAAGCTCAGCTCTATTTAAATGTCTAACAGTAGTCTCTAGCAAAAGTCAAGTCAAAACAAACTTGTGCTTTGTCGTGGTGTTTAGTCATACTTTACAGCCTGTATAAGGCAGCAAAGAATAATTTTTGCTGGGAAGAGGGAAGCAGGCACCAAGCTAAACCTTTGTCATAATTTCTCCAAATACCAGCATCTACTGTATCAGTGGCTTCCCCTTTGAATGCCTGCTGCATCAAAAATAACAGGTTGTGAGAAGGAGGCAGTAAAGAATGAATCTGGTCAAGTAGGTAACTTAATGAGACTGAAGCTCAACAACAGCAAGTCCAAGGCTGTGGCATTCAGTGTGTTATCTGCAGCTACGTAAATCTCCTTCCCGCCCTCCCACAGCGCAGAAGCTCTGTCTCCAGCACTGCGCTTTTCAGCAGGCACACCAAAGTGAGGCACAACTTGAGGAAAAATGTTAAAGACTTTGCTGAGTGCAGTATGAAACTGTACTAATGCGTATTCTATCCCAATAAAACTTTCTAAAACAGGAAACAGGCATACTAGTAAATGAAAGCTGCCAAATCTTTTCTTACCCTGTGATGGTCAGCATTGCAAAGAATAGGATATGGTGAAGTTCTAGTGCTTCTCACAAAGCATAAACATTTCAAGCATAACATACATATTACAAGCATAAACAAATAGCGTCTTGTTGTTAAGACTGTTCAGAAGGAGCGGTGTGTCAGTGAGACACGTTTGCCGATGGGCCATGTTTGAATAGTTTGCAGATATTTCATTTTTGTATAAGGGAAATGCAAGGTGTGATTATTCTCAGCTCAAAACGATAGAGGAATTGCATACAGGTGGATGTAGAAGGGCTTTCCGAAACAGATTTTTCACACTGTATTCAGCTTTCAGATTTTTTTTTTTTTAAAAACGCTAAGGAGAAGAGTAAAACAAGAATTACTGTAAAACAGGAGCAGGAGAGACTTCATAGCAAGCTCTGTTCTTTGGAGATTGTAACAGGTAAGAATCATAATGGTACCTTTCAGTTAAGGCTCTGACTCCCTGGGTGGAAGTGGCCATCTTTTTAAAGCATATGTTACTCCACAATGCTAAGAGCTCCTACGTAAACCAAGAGTAGAGCAGAATAACAGTGCTGACCGGGATCCTAAAAAGAGAAGGATTCCAGCTTCTATCAACTACAACTTTGCAAATACAAATGTATTTGAAGTGCTTTTTAACTTCTAGACAAGTTTTCATTTCTAAGTTTGTAGGAAGAAATCAGAAATTTAAGGGTGATCACTAATAAAGCCTGTGTAAATATATGCTGTATACAGATTATGGACACTATCACAAAGTCAGTGTCCTTCTTCTTTTCAATTAATATGTAACAGATATTATTTTTATTGGATTGGATATACTAGGCAGAACTAGCAAGATTTCATGCAAGTAAGTATGCGGTGAGTTATAACGTATTTCAGTTTAAACCTTGCTCTGAATTATATCATTAGTTTTAAGGCCACACCCCAAGCTAAAAATGATAGTTTTAGAATTTTGCTTTTCTTTTTTTAAATTCAAATTCAGAAGTCTGAGACTTGATGTTTAAAAGGTACACTTACAGATGTAATTGCACACTAGTTCATCTGGTTACTTACTGTAAGCGGCCAAATTTTAGCTCTTTCAGTTTGACTTCACTACTTACCTACAACGGACTTGGAATAAATGTCCATAAGACAAATTAGAAATGCAGGATAAAGTAACTACAGATACAACTCTGGAAACAAAGTACCCTTGACAATAAATAAGATATTCATATAAGGCTGTTACTCACAAATAGTTTGAGACTCTTTGCCCAGTAGCGGCTTCAATTACGAAATGTTTGGTGATAACACTGGTTTAAAATCTCTCTGATCCTTGTAGCGCGCAAGACAGTCATGCAGTGATCCCACCCCTCTGTTCACACATCCCGACCCAGCTGGGTCAGTTCCCCAGGTCTGTTTGTGATGCTGTAGGCACAGCAGTGGACATGTGTAGGGCGTCCCAATGGCACTATTGCTGCCAAAAAACTTTGTCATGCCCAATCACAATTTCTTATATCTGCACCCATGTTCTGCAATTTGCAAGTAGCAAGTTACAAGCCACAGTCTGAGAATTAAAAAGCTAAAAGGATATTGGGCTAGCTTTAAAGAAAAGAGTAGGAAAGAAAAACTTTATGCTGAACTTGCTACTGCAAAACCCGGAACAGGACACAGTGCACGCTTCTTCATAAAACAGATGTTCTTACCAATTGTTTTTTGGTAAAAATTGCTCTTTGAGCTGGTCATAAAGGTATTCAGAGTCACTAAAACTTTTGCAAAAATAGTATGAATGGAGCTATGTATCTCTCAAATATTCTGGTGTTTCATTAAGTTTTTAACTTACAGTTTAAAGCTCTGGAAGACAGTCTCTATAAACTGTATTGGCTTTTGCAACTACAGCTTGGTTTGAAATTCAAACCTGCACGGAGTTACCAAAACTGCACGGAGAGACAAAAAATTTGTAAGTACAAACAACATTCAAGCAGCAATGTTAAGTAAGCTGTCTAAGGATGTCCTGCTCACGATCAGTTTACCTGCATAGGGAAGGCACTTAAGAAACAAAAATCCAGTTCTTTAAGCCTCTCTAGACTGCAAGTTTCTCAACAATTACAGCTGTAGCAGCTGCCTAACTGTGCAGCGCTCCCTCACAGGGTGCTGACACAGAAAAAGATGTATAAGGGGAAGCAGAACTAATGAACAAAAGTAAAGCAGTGTCTGTGAAATAAGGCTGAAAATGACATTGACAGATGATCACTATTGTTGTAACTCAGCCTTGCAGATCATTTTCAGGTAAAAACAGATTGATAAATCGTAGAGAATAAGTGTGTCTAAACCAGGTGGTGTTGCTCCTAGGTCTGGGCGTTCGCAGGGACTTACACAGATCAGATTTAAAGATAAATCATAGTATCTATCTTAATGCTTTTACCTTGAAAGAGATCCTTCAGCAATTCAGTCACAGCTGTTTTGTACTAATTTCTTTCTCCTTTTCTTTTCAGCTCTTTCCTGAGGGTATTTCTAGGATCACCTGCAGCATGTTAAAGACACTGTATCTCCTATACAAAATCTTGAAACTTCAGGAACTGCTTTCCAGGCGAGAAGATGAAGAGTGAATAGCTTCCAGGAAGTAAGTGGTAAACTGAATGTGTCATGTAATCTGTGTTACTGCTGAAGTGGGTATAAAACATTTTTGTCAAACTCTGAAGCGTGAGTTAACACCAAATACTTGCTTCTCGGTAACTTATCTGATTTACTGGCTTTAATTTTGTCATCTGCAGCTGAATCAGCTCTCACTCTGCACTGCAGTTTCTAGCCCTAGTACTACAGCTGACAGAAGCCAGGAAATAGCAGCTTATGGAAGTTTTCT